AACATTCAGCTCACCTCTTCCCTCCAATCTTTAGACTCCTCTCCTAATTCTCTACAGAATTCACTGACTCACAAACTAATCGAAGAAATATTTACTGAGCTCTTAGCCTCAAACTATGTTCAGTGCCTCCTGCTTTACAGAGAACACAGAGCACTTCAAAAGGGCTTTCTGTCTTAGTACCCTTGCTTCTCTGCTTCCCCATTGTGATAACAGAATGGATGCTTTTGCTCTGATCTAGATCAGCCCCTCTATCTTTGCTCTAGATATCCCATTCTTATCCCATTCATCCCATGTCTTCAGCTTCTATATCACCCCAGTGACTTCCATTGAGTATATAAACATGTTCACATCTATAGTGAGACTCTTATGGGTTCCCTTCATACCCCCATCCCTCTCCCCAGTTTCTGCCTTTCCTTCCCTGCCATAACCATACTTGAGGTCAGAGAGTTGTTCATATTCACTGTATCCACTTCTCATCCCTCAATTCCTAGCCCACTCATTTCACTCAAAGCTGTTCTAGATAAGGTTGCAATGACCTTCTGGTTTTTAGATACCATAGATTTTTCAGTCTTATCTTTCTTGACATTGTTGATCACTTTCTCTTTCTAGAAACACTTTCCCCTGGTCTTGCTCTCCAGGTGAAGATTTAAAGGTCCTCCCTACCTCACCCTTAATGCATCTAAACTTCCTACTTTAGTAATAAAACAGATCAACAGAGCCCATCTTATTCTGATAGGGACTGCCTTTTCTTATTCCCACCCCTAGTTTTTCAAAGAGCAGTCTCAACCTTTCCCCTTCCAGTTACGTCTTAACCTCACTAGCTATTTCTTGCAGTATAAGACACTGTCAACTATTTCTCATCTTAAAAATTTCTATTATGTTGACCTAAAAATGCACCCAGTTGGTATTGCTCATCCTTCTCTGGCCCCTTCCCTATCTCTCTTTTTCAGTTTTTCACCTTCCATTACCTTACCTCTTAGGAATTCCTCAGTACAAAGGACAATGATGACTATGACAGTACATCTCTCATAGGGTTGTTGTATTAAAAAAATAACATAGCTATATTCAATTTTAACTGGTTGGTTTCTTGGAGAAGTTGAACCCAGTATGGCCAAACTCTTGATTTTTTAAAGTGGAACCAAGAATTCTACATAAAATATTTTGTTTTTAAAAGGTTGGAAACAGCTTGAATAAAGTGTACATATTGAAAACATACCTGAGTTCACCCTGTAGGCCATCAATCCACAACCTCTGTTCTAGGGTGTTCAGATATCGCTGAAAGTGATTGATGTGTGTATCTTGGGGTTTACAAGGGTTATTTCCATGGACTTACCAAGTGCCTGGCACAGTGTGCTGTATATAAATACACGTTAAATGAGTCGCACGATCATCTCCTTTTATAATAAAATTTCTTTGTTGGTATTCAAGCTAATGGTTGGCAAAACATTTTGGTTTCATTCATAGATTAGTTTCTGCTAAAGGTCTGCTACTGGTGTTTCCCAGCTGTTAAGTGTTGCTATTCTTAGTATTTTGCTTTAAGGTTTGTTTCACAAGATGCATCTACTTGTGTCAGACATTGGCCATTGCATTCCTTCAATTGCCTTATCGTCACTTTTGTTTATGGCATCACCTTTTACTAGAACATAGCATTTCCAGTGTATAAAAAAATGCTTTCCGTGTCTAAAGAATAAAAGGACTAGTCCAGAACTGCTTTTTCCCACATCTTCTTAAAACTACACAGTATAACAATGGAGGTGAAGATGGTCACTTCTATATTGTGTTTATTCATCCAAAGGTAAGAGATTGGGAAAAAATCATCGAGAGTATATTTGTGTATCTGGCATAAAGAAGACAAATAAAATACAACCTTTTAAGAAAAATGGAACAAATGATAGAGTATGGTGTAATATGAGTTACAAAGAGAAGCAATTATATATACACTTTATAGGAGAGGTGGTTGGCCAAGCGATTAAGAAGAACACAGGTTTCTAGAACAGACTTCCCAGGTTCCAAGTTTGGCTTGATTACTTATCTGCTATTTTGAGCACACTACTTAATAACCTCATAGGACTTGTTTTTTTTTCCATTTGTAAACAGGGAAGTAAGGGAATATACCTTATAGGATTATTTTAAAGATAAATGTGAGTTAGTATGTCTGAATGCTTAGACTAGTGTTTGGTATAAGGTAAGCACCCAATAAATGTTAACTGTTATAACTACACAAGATGCACTTAACTTGTGCGTCTGGAGATAGGTCACTAAAGAGACATAAAGTTAAGATTTTTTCCTAGGTAATTACTGATTGATGTACTGGAGATTTCCTCAGTAAATATTTATTGGGCATTTTCTATGCACTGGGTACTAGATATTTAAAAATAAATACAGAGTAGAAATAAAGGGAAACTTCCTAAGCAATGAGAACAGTAGGTTCAAAGTCAAGAGAATGTGAAAAGTCAAGGTGAATTCTTAGAAATCTCTCTCAATGTGACAGAGAACAGCAGAAGAGTTGACCAGCAATAAGAGATTACAAGAGAAAGAAGTAGGAGTGGGGGTGTCAGTCTTTCATATCACACTGTGGCATTTGAATTTTATCCTATAAACACAAGGAGCCAAAGCTGGAGGAGATGTGATCATGTCTGTGTTCCTAATACATTACTCTTGCAATAATCTGAGCCAACTCAGTTTTTTAAGGAAGTGAGACTTCCCTTAAAACTTCTTATGGGGGAGGGAGGGACAGTTTTTTATGTGAACCAAAACTAAGGGATTTGGTAAAAGTACTTACAAATGAAGAAGTGAAATTGAAAATAAGTTTTCCATGTATGCAATAAAATATTTTGATTTGGAGTATAAGGCAGTTATCACAAAAAGAAACACTTTATAATATCTGGGTATTACGTGGGTATTTCACAGCTCTTTGAGCCTGGTCCTTCTGGATCTTTCTCATTGCTATTCTGTGCTTCATTAATTCACTTAATTAACAAACATTTACGGTGCCAGACACTGCTTTAGACCTTGGGATTCAAGAATAAACAAAAAAGACAAAAGTTTCCTGGCCACTGGAAGCTTACATTGGAAAAAAGACAAAAGTTTCCTGCCCACTGGAAGCTTACATTTCTCTGATGCACATAAAATAAACACTAAATATAAGTTAAATAAAAATAGGAGATAAATGTTATTGACATAAAATGAAACAGAGTAAGAAAAATTGTGACCAGGTGCAGTGACTTACACTCATAATCCTTGTTAGTTGGGAGGCAGAGATTAGCAGGATCACAATGCAAGACCAGCTGGGGCAAAAGTTACCAGAGATCCCATCTCAACCAACAAAAAGCTGGCGTCCTGGCATGCACCTATCATACAGCTATGCAAGAAGCATAAATAGGAGGATCCCAGCTCAGGGTGACCTGAGCATAAAAGCAAGACTTTATTTGAAAAATAACTAAAGCTTAAAAAAGGGCTGGTGGCTTGACTCAAGTGATAGAGCACCTGCAAGTACAAGGTCCTGAGTTCAAACCCCAGTGCAAACAAAAAGAAAAAGAAAAAATTATTTCAACAATAACTGAAAGGACCTGCAAAGCCCCCTCACTGCAAAACTCAAGTCCCCTTGATATGCACTGTTCTCAGCCACGCAAAACAGAGTCACCCTGAAAAACTGTGTGTGTACAATTACATATACATGAGATTCATTAAGTCTACTTTAAAGAAGGTGGTGTAGACAAGGCTTCAAATGAGCTGGAACACTGTCTCCCATTATTTACACAATAAATAATCCCGGGGCTTGGCGATAATGATGGTAGTGGTAGTGGTGTGTGTGTGTGTGTGTGTGTGTGTGTGTGTGTGTGTTTTGGACAGCATCTCCCATTTGGAACAGGGCTAGCCAGAGTCCTATTCTTCTATAACCTGTCTTAATAACAGCCCAACCCAGGCAGGAACCTTCATTGTTTTTATTTTTTCTTATCACAAAAACAAACTAACCCCCCAACAACCTAGTACCACGGAGTGACGTCCTTGCTCACTGATCTGCCTCCGTTTTTTGCAGTCCAGACTCCAGGGGAAGAATGCCACCTACCGAATCATCCACACCAGCTAGCCAATCCTGCAAAATGCAGCAGTATTCAACCCTGGAAGGCTCCAAATCCCTTCCTTCTGATTATTCTTTGGTCTAAAGGGAAAAAAAAAAAAAAAGCCACTACTTGGACTGACAGGAAGTTATGCTCTCAGTGCAGATATCTGATAAACACTTCCACATATTGTAGCCCTCTGAATAGCTAAGCCAAATTTCAGCCTCCTCTCCCCCTACATTTTTCTTAATTGCGCGTTCGGGGTCAGAATGTCCGCACCTCTGCAGCCCGCAGACAGAGGAAAGCGCTGGTGCAAGCGCGTGGGGCTGCTGGACTTGGTGCTGCAGAAGCCAGCTGGGGTTACCCACAGGCTAGCTATCTCGGGATTGCACAAGAGGTCAGGCGACACTATGGGCTTCCAAATTTGTACAGCCGCTGCCATCCAATCCATCCCAAAGCCTCGGGAGAGGGGGTGGGGGATCCCCTCTGCAGTCCGCTGAAAGCGAGGCAGCAATCCCTGCAACTCCAGTGTTCATGCTGAGGTCGCCACCGCTCCGCAAATGCGTGTGCTGCAGAGGCGCCTTCCTCCGCGCGCGGCGCGGGAAGGGATGCGGTCGGGTGGGAGTGGGCAGGGCGGCGTGAGAGGCGCGTGTCCGTGCGTTAGAGGTTCTCGTGCGTGATACGATCGGGTTGAGAGCCTTCAGGCTGTGCCGAGTCGGAGTCGCGGACCGAGGTCAGTTGGTGGCCAGGGGTCTAATGCCATCGATCAGAGAGGCGCCCGGCTCGGCGTGCCGCAGGCCTGAGGGGAGGGCTGGGGCTGGAGGAGGGTGGCGGGGGACGGGGGGGGGGGCGGGTCCGTCCCAGCGCCCAGCGCCGAGGGGCGGGCCCCAGGGAGGGCGGGCCGCGGCACTGCCGGCCGTCGCAGTTGTAATCGCCTCCAGCCCGCGGTGGCGAGCGCAGGCTACGGTACATGGCCCCGACGGGAGGCGCGCAGCCCGCACCCGGAGCTCGGCTCCCTGCTTAGCGCGGCGCGGCGGCACCTCGGGACGCGCGTCCTCGCCCCTCGGCCGCCTGCCCGTGGACATGACCGCGTAGCGTCCTCCTGGCTGGGATTTGCTTGCAGATTTTCTTCATGGAAGCGATGTCTCCCCAGCAGGATGGCTTAGGGGGGCAGCCGGGGCGCTCCTCTTCCCTGACCGGAGTGTCTCAGCTCGCGGGAGGCCCGGGCACCAAGAAGGTGAGGATTTTGAGCGGGGGACTCCTGCGTCCTCCGCCGCGACCAGCAGCCAGGGCGATTTAACAGTCGCTGCCCTCTGGCTTCATCCCAAAACGTTCCCGCCTTCCTATCCCCCACCCTGGGGCCGCGATGCTGCCTCCCGGTCACCCCCAAACCCTCGCTTCGTGGTATTAGAGTCCTGATCCCGCTCGGAGCGGACCCCGCAGCCTTCCCCGTGTCTCCATCCGCTGCAGGAAGCGCAGCCCGGCGCGCTCAGTCCTGGGGCGCGGACCTGGATTGGGGGTCGTCTTTCCCCAGCCCCTGGGGTTCCCCTCCCCCAATCCTCCCCGAGGTGGCCTAGGCTGGGTCATCTGTCATCTCCAGTCGTCAGGACCCGCGGCGTCGGCCAGGTGCAGCGGCCAGCCACGAGGAAGGTGGGCGGCCGAGGGCGCCCGCGGGCTGAGCCGCCTCACCTGGAGGCGGAGGCGGAGGCGGAGGCAGGGCTCCCCCTTGCCCTCCGCCACGGTCCAGGGTCGATCCGGGTTTTGTTTGCGGGGGAGGGAGTCTGGGAGGTGCGGGTGTGGGATGCTAACGGTCCACACTGCGGGCCGCTGGGGCTCCGTGGGCCTTGAGCTGAGCAGGGTGGGGGTCGCGCCGAGCGGGGGAGCCTTCGCCCTAAGCTGGTCCTTGGGACTCGGGCCGGGTGTGGGTGTGAGCGTGGGGGCGGCGCCCTGGTTCACTGTCAAAGCCGGGAGGACCGATGTGGGCAACAACTTGTAGCGTTTGCTTGGGATAAACACGGCCCGCGGTGCCGGGAGGATTCCTGTCGGTGTCAGGTTTCCTTGGATCAGTTCCCAAAGCAAGTGCACGTGGGCCGCGGGCCGCCGGCCTCTGCTCTTACCCTCTCTTAGGAATTGATTTGGGGGTTTCTAGCTGTGTCTGCCTCCCCCCTCCTCCAGCACAGGACCTTCCGAATATTTGGGCATTTTTGTTTCTTGCCATGGTGGTGCCTTTCTAGCTTCTTTGGAAACAAGTTGTGTGATTAGAGAAACCATCTAGCTCTTCCTTGAGAAATATTTGGAACATTGCATGGCTATAATTAGACTTAAGGGGTTATACTGGCTCACTGTTCCTCCACATTTATGGGTTTTCATAAATCTCCCACCAGGATGGTGGGTTGGCTAGAGGTCAGTTGAGAGGTGAGATCACTGCGCGCGGTATAGAAACATATGTGAGCTCTCAAAGACCTTGACAATTTCGCAGGGCCATTTAGGGGCATCCAAGAACTTGATGAATGGGCTCTAGTGCCATCTCAGTCTTTGCAGTCTTTGATGTATTGATGCTGCTGTTTGTCCTTGTCGTTTTCTCTGCCTTTGGAGATGGAGGGTGTGTGTGTGTGTGTGTATGGAGGGTGTGTGTGTGTGTGTGTGTGTGTGTGTGTATAATCAAGTATTTCCTCTTTCCAAATAAAACGTGAATTTACCAAGCTAGCGGTATGTTTGGGGTGGTAAATGGACATTTAGTAATTGACACAGATTTTAAACCTTTGAAAAAAAACAGATTTATTTTTTCTGAACAGTTTTCTTTCCTTTTTCCACCCCTCTAAAGCTAACTAAGCTTGCTGACAAAGGGAGCAAGCATTAAACAGCAGCTTCCTACTGTCGAGTGGTACTTGGCCACTAGGGAAGGTTGCTGTCCCCTTTTCCCTGTGTTCTTTTTACTAGCATAGCTACTGGCTCTAAGATGGTGTCCTGCATTACAGCATAATGAGGTAATACTTTACCAAACCCAGTACCTACCTTCCCAAAATTGTTGGGAAATTTAAGTGTGAAAATTGAAGGAATAACGGTATATAAAGTAAAATTTTGTTCCAGTTGTTCAAGCCCCACATCTAGGATTCGTTTTGAATTCATTTCCTCACTCTGCACCAACCTATTCACCAGCAAATCTCCTATCACTTGATAGTAGGGTAAGTCTCTCCAGTTCATCTCTACTGCAATCTCCATAGTCCAAGCCAAGCCAGCACAGTTTCTCTAGTTCCTTTACAGAAATTCTTTGTCTCTCTGACACCTTAATGTCCTTCTAGGACCCCATCTGCATTTAGCAGTACCAATACAATTTTTTTAATGTAAATTGAGCCCAGCATGGTGGTGAATATGTGTAATCCAGCACTCTGGAGGCTAAGACAGGAAGACCTCCAGTTCAGGCCTATAAAGCTGGACTATATAGCGGGTTCAAGACCAGCCTAGGCTACAGAATTGATGGTGTTGCTTACAAGTGGCTTTCTATCACATTTACAATAAAATCTAGACCCCTTTTTTTGGCCCTGTCTACTTCTCTCACCTATCTGCCTGTCCTTCCTCACTTTTGTGTTCTCCAACCATGTGGGCCTTCTTTATCATAATCAAGTCATCACATTCATTCCTAGTTTGCAGCCTTGGGTGTTGTGAATTCCCTTTGTACTTGCCCCAGTGTTAACTCGTTTGTGTTGTTCACATCTTAGCTCCTCCCAGAGGCCTGCCCTTACTTCCTAAAGGAAGTCACCCCTCAGTTACACTATACCTGCAACTTTATTGTCATCTTAGCATTACACTTTGCTGATATTTTCTTGTTTCCTACCTGTTATCTGCATCCCTCTCTATTTTAAAACCATGAGAACAGGCACTTATTCTATATTCCAGGTTCTCATCTCCATGCCTAGAATAGTTCATGGTATGTTTTTGGTGTTTCATCAGCCTTGGCTGGGTTCTGTAGAGCAGTGAACAGGACAAGCATGGCCCCTGTCCTCAGAATTTATGGCTTACTGCAGGTTCAGCAAACCTTTTCTTAAAGGACCAGGTAGTAAATACTTGAAGTTTAAAGTCCACGTGGTCTCTGTTGTGGCTATGTAGCTCTGCCCATTGTGTAGCCCTAAAGCAGCCTGGACAATATGTAAATCAATATGAAATTGAATGGGCACAGTTGTGCTCCAATAAAACTTTATTTAGAAAAACATGCAGTAGGTTCCTGCTATGTAGTTTCCTCACCCCTGGTTTGGAGCAGTGGTATTGAGGAGGACTTTGTGTGGGCATGCAGTTGTCTCTACAATGTCTAGTTCAGTAGCCTCTACCTACTTGTGTCTGTTGAACTCTTGAAATGGGGCTGGTGCAACTGAAGCGCTTCACTGAGGTATAATTGATAAGCAATAAACCACACATATTTAAAGTATGTAAATCTAAACGTTTTGCTGCAAATATGCACCTATGAAGCCATCTCTGCACTCCCAGGCAACCTATGGTCTGCTTCCTGTCACTGGAGATTAAACTTGCATTTTTAAGAACTTATATAAATGGAATCATACTTGTTATTCTTTTTTGTCTGCCTCATTTCATTTGATATAATTATTTTAATATTCATCCATGTTTATGTGTCTATCAGTAGAGCCAAAAGAGTTCAGATTTTTAAATATTTGCATATGCATAATAAGATATCTTGGGGATGGCACTCAAGTCTAAACATGAAATCCATTAATATTTCATACACACTTTATACATGTAACTTGGTAAGTTTATACACTGTTTTTAGTGTGCCTGTGTTTTGACTGCAATCTGTCACGTGAGGTCTGCATTAGAATTTTTCACTTGTGACCTAATATTAGCATTCAGAAAGCTTCAGAGTTTGAAGCATTTTGGGTTTTGGTTTTTCAGATTAGGGACACTCAATCTGTAGACCACAAGATTTGCTATACACTCACCTCATAATGAGTATTTGTATTGTTTCCAGTTTGGGACTGTTATCAGTAAGTGGCTATGAATATTCAAATACAAATTTGCATGGACCTGTGCTTTCATGTCATTGAGGTAAATACGGAGGCATGGGATGACTGGGTTGGATTTTAGCTGGATAGCTTTTTAAGAAACTGCTCAGGTGTTTTTTTCCAAAGTGATTTAACACTTCCACTTCCCCACATTCTCACCAACATCTGTTGCGTGGCTTGGGGTCATAGCCATCCTAGGTATGTGTAAAGTAACACCTGTTGGCTACTTCCTTAATGACTGGTGGCTTTGAGCATCTTTTCGTGTTTTTATCCATCAGTCATTTTGGGTGAAATACCTACTTAAATATTTTTGCCCAGTTTTAATTGGGTTTTTATCTGTCTTTATTATTGCGTTTTCGGAGTAATTTATGTATCCTAAATTCCAATCATTTATTAGATCTGTGATTTTTCAAAATGTTTTCTCTATGACTTTTTATTCTTTAACAGCAGCTTTCAAAGAACAGTTCTTCCATTAGGTAAAATCGAATTTGTTAGGGTTCTTTTTAATTTTACTTAATTTTAATTTTAATAGCCACATATATTTAATGGTTGTAATATTGTGCAGCACAGATCCAAAGAAAGAAACAAAAACAGGAACAAAAACCTAGAAAATATTGGTGTTATTAATGAAACAAACATGATCCTCATTTGGACAAGTTGTACAGATTTTGAGCTTCACCACTCTGCGTTAGGTCATTCAAGGAAAGGCCTTTTTAAAGTGACCCTTAACTCTTTCATAAGTGAACAAGAGCGTGCTGCAAAAGCTTTCCAAAAGTGAGAGATGCAGTGAGTTCAAAGGTCATAAGGTAGTCTCAAATTTGAGGAACTAGTTTGTAGATGCTGTATAAGATGCTAGCCACATTTATTATTTTAACCTCAAGCAGAATTACCTATCTGATCATTCATCTTTATTTGCTATTTAGAAGATTTTACTCTTTCTAAAAATCAAATCTATCCTCAGAGGACAAAAATTTTCTAACAGACTCTTCAAATAAATTTGTACAGTAATTCCTAAAAATAGGGCTCTAATTATATAGATAATTTCTTTAAATTCTTCTGGAATAATGCATTCTCAAGCTATCCATCTATGTACTGAGCAGTTCAAGCACAGGGAAAGCACATATTAGAATCAGTTCAGGGATGACTTGTGTCACATTCAAGCACACTCGCCCTATGGTTTCTCTTGCCAATCAAAAAATGTTTAACTGGGGGAGTGTTAGGGCAG